GCCCCGCGAAAACCCAAACTACACCATGGGCTGCAAACAAACAGGACACGTGTTGAGTAGCCCTACACTAGCCCCTATTGCCTCCCAGAACAGTGGTACAACCCAGGAGTTCTGATGGGGTCTGTCAGTGCTGTTCCTCACTCTGGCACTCTGAGTGCAGAAGGTGGGGACCCACAAGAAACCTTGCATACCTTGCCTCTATAGGCTCTGTTAACAGAAACTCTCCAGAGTTTTTCATGCATTTACTGACTTTGGGAGATAGCTGTCACCACCAAATGAAACAACAGAGATCCCTTTCTTCTTGAAGGAAGCATTTGGACTTCTTCCAGAGGGATATCCACAAGCTCTTGCCTCTTTTACCAAAGAGAATTTGGGAAAAAAAGAGAAACCAAACTGTAGTCTGTGGTAGCTGACCTCTCAGCCTTAGGCATGCATACACAGATACAGACCTCCTGTTTCCTTCCAGGACACGAGAATCAAATAATTGCCTTAAAAAGGTGATTTTATTAACAAAACAAAAAGCTGTACTTGATAAAGCATACGTGGTTGCTAGTTGTTACAGAGCAACTAAGAAAAGAGCATCTTAAGAGAAAGAGCTGGGCGCAGCTTAAATAGTGAATGGCGGGGAGAGAGCACATGGATTTTACACAGAGAGGGTTTATCAGACAGCAAAACAAAGAAAAATAATCTGATTGTGACTAAACACACGTTTTCCCTCTACTCACAATCCATGCTGATCCGTACTTCAAGGCCCAGTTCACTCCCATGTCCAATGTTTTTTATAAGCATGGTAATTTTGATTACTACATCTGCTCCCTCCAGCCATTAACTTAGAATTTTTACCCAAAGAGAGCGGGCAAGGTATCTATATATAATTCACATTTCAGCTCCGTATCCCATTAGTTCTTCTGGCTTCCATTCGACACCCTTGCTAGCTACCTAAGTTTAACCCTTTAATCACCGGCTGCCGGTTAGCACTCCTCCTATCCATCACAGGGTCTCTCTCTCCACAGAGTTATAACAAAGTAAGGACGTATATTACAATTGTAAACTTAACAATGTCCCTTAAGTGACCTGCTACAAGATGACAGAATATATTATTGTGAGAGCTGAGTGGGTCTAATATTTGTCTTTCTTTCATATAGGAAGTAGATACAGGGTTCCTGTCAGTTACTTGATAAATTATCTGCCAGAAAATTAGAGTTTTTAAGTGCCTAAGAAGCCCCTGGGATCATGGTTAAAGTTGCCCTACCCCTCCATAATGTGAAATGGTGCCCCTGCACTAAGTGGGTTCAAATTCATCTAAGGTTGAATTTTATTAATCATTTGGGTCCCTGGCTCACCTATTTACAATATTTAGGGTATGTCTGTGCTTGGAGCTAGATGTGTGATTCCCAGTCCAAAGAGATTCACTTGTGCTAGCTCTCATCAAGCTAGCATGCTAAAAATAGTAGTGTAGCAAAGGTAACGTAGGTAGAAACTCAAGCTAGCAACCCAGATATTTACCCATAAGGGCTGAGTGGCTAACCCAGGGGTGGGAAATAATTTTTGAAGGAGAGGAGTCACTTTGTGAATTTTGGAAGTGGTTGTGGTCTGCTCCAGAAGGAACGGGGCCTCGGGCGGAGGGGAGGGAGCCAGGAGACTTTGCATGCTCCCCATCCCACAAACCCTGATTGGCCTGGGGTTGGGGAAGCACATGAAGTCTTTGTCTCTGCCGCTGCCCTGCCAGGGGTGCATAGCACCACATGGAACTGCCAGCTGTTTGCACCTTCTGGGCAGTTGCCAGGCAATGTGGTAGCAGTTGGCTGGCAGATACAAGGCCTTTAAATAGAAGCAATTGAAAGAGCTTGCAGCTCCCAACCCCACCGCTAATGTGTTGCCTGGGAGTCGCTGGAGAGGTGTGAGCCCTTTCAACTCCTGCTATTTAAAGGGCTTGTGCCTGTCAAGTGGTTGCCTGGAAGGCACAAGCCCTTAAAATAGCAGGAGTTGAAAGGACTCATGCCTCTCTGGCAGCTCCCAGGCAATGCATTAGTGGTGGAACCAGGAGCTGCCATGGGCCAGATGAAAGTGCTAAACAGGATGGATCTGGCCCACTGACAGCATCTTGCCCAGCCCTGGGCTAGCCCCTCCTGCTACTTATCACTGCTCACGGTTCTTTTCTTTTCTATAAGAACCCTTGTTGCTGTGTTTTATTGCAAACTGAGGACTTTGAGGGTATATCTACACAGCAGTATTATTTCGGAATAATTAACGTTATTTTGAAATAACAAAGAGCGCGTCTATACAGCAAGCCATTATTTCAAAATAATGGCGAGCTGGAGGACTTTTTACTCTGACTCCTGTAACCCTCATTTCACGAGGAGTAAGGGAAGTCAGAGGAAGAGTGTTCTTCCTCCGACTTCCTGCTGTGTAGACAGCACCAAAAGCTCAATTAAACTATTTCGACTTCAGCTACGCAATTGACATAACTGAAGTTGTGTAGTTCAATTCAACTTTAGCCGTGCTATGTAGATGTGCCCTAAATCTGAGAATAACGTTCTTGTGAAAAGGTCTTTGTGGCAAGAGGTTTTTGGTGTTATTGGAGCATGTCTACCAAGTTCTGGGACTTCATCCCACTAGTGGAACCACTCTGATTCTTCCGCTTATACTGCACTAAATGAGGAATAACTCCACCGACGCCAGCAGAGCAGAGTTGCACTGGCATAAGTTGGAGGTGGTTTGAAAAGTTCAGAAAAATGAAGCAATTGAATGGGTGATTGCAGCGCCCAGGACACCAATATTTTGCCATTCTTCAAGTTACAGCTTTCTGCTATCTGTTTTGTTATGGTGCTTCTCCAAAAGGAGAAATAGTTTGGCCCAAATAGCTGATCATAGGTTACATCTTCAATCTAACAAACCTGGAGTTAATTTAGGGGACATAAATGATAATCAACTCTATGAATGAAAAATATATTTATTAGAAACCATTCCTATTTAAAGATGGCACTTGAAATTACTATGAGTGTGAACTACTGGCTGTGTTTGGTTCTGAAATACATTTCTATGTAGCATTGTTTTAAATGAAACGTATTATTGACAGCTAGATAGAACATTGAAATGAAAACTGGAGTTCTTGTCATCATCTGCTTTTCTTGGCCTCAATTCCTTAGTGCTTCTGGAGCTGGGAATATATTATTGCCACAAAAACTTAAAAAACAACGAATAGTCTAGCAGAAACTTAAAGACTAATGAAACATGTAAATTGTATCATGAACTTTCATAGGTACAACCCAGTTTTTCAGATGACTGGAGTATTAAAAGTCCAGCTCCAATATTCAGATGACTAGAGTATTAAAAGTCCAGATCCAAGAATAAATAAGGGAAGAGAGGGGAGGAGAAAAAAGACAGTGACTAGATTGTTCAAGTTGCAAGAGGCTGATAAGATTATTGCTACAGTTCCAGTTAATCATGTTTGTTATTCCTGAATATTCCAAGATTTCTTGTTTTTTCCATATTGTTCTTCTGAGTGATAGAAATTGGTTATTTTTGGTTACTAGAAGTATGTGGGGAGATGTTTATATATTGTTGTTTGTAAAATTTAATTTCCAACAAATAAGGTAGATGATGTCTTTAAGACATATTTTAAAAAGTAGCAATGATGTTGGGGTGGCAGATGAGAATTAATGAAGAAGTGAAATGACTAGGGTCTCTGTTATTATTGCTTAATTATAGTCACTGTTTCAGACTTTAAAGACCTGATTCTGATCTCATAGTACATGTTCCATTGGCATAAGTGAAATAAGGCCTTATTTTCAGCAGTTTTAATAAGGTCAGACTCAGACACTACGGCTGCATCTAGACTGGAAAGTTTTTCCGCCAAAGTGGCTGCTTTTGCGCAAAAACTTGCCAGCTGTCTACACTGGCCGCCTGATTTTGCGCAAAATCACTGACGTTCTACTGTCTGAAATCAGTGCTTCTTGCGCAAATGCTTTGATGTTCCCGTTCGGGCAAAAGCCCTTTTCCAGAAATGTTTTTGCGCAAGAGGGCCAGTGTAGACAGCTAAAAACTGTTTTGCGCAAAAAAGCCCCGATCGCTATTTTCGCCATCGATCGGGGCTTTCTTGCGCAAAACCGTGTCTAGATTGGCACGAACGCTTTTCCGCAAAAAGTGCTTTTGCGGAAAAGCGTCCGTGCCAATCTAGACGTTCTTTTCCACAAATGCTTTTAACGGAAAAACTTTTCCGTTAAAAGCATTTGCGGAAAATCTTGCCAGTCTAGATGTAGCCGTTAGTTTAAATCCACATGCATGTTTCTTTCTCATCTCTATAACAGGGATATTGTCAGTTTCTCCTATTGTGATTTTTGCCTCTGTTAAACTGCAAATGATTATACATTGCAGCAATTGCTGTGGACCCTTTCAGAAACTTAAAGTTCACATAGTATAAAAGTCTATGCAATAGAGACTGCTAAATACACAAATTTCATGCAATTACAAAATATATAAAATATTTTGTGCTCTAGTTTGAGTTGTGCTTAAAAGAAAATGAGGTTCAAAAGGTAATCTGTAACTAAATTATTAAAATAAACCACATTGCCAGTTTGCACTGGAGAGAGTATTTATCACCCAGAAAATCCAATAATTACTTACCAATTAGAATGAGTCAACTACCGTTTAGGTCAATTCCCAGAGTCAGACTCCACATTATTATAATGTTGACTATGAATTCTTGGACCTTTGCATTACTGTCTGTTAATATTCAAGGGTGACTTTTAAAAGAATTTTTAAACTGTCAAAATAAGTATATTAATACACTTGCTATTCTGGAGCCAGTACCAGACAGATGGAAACCCAGTGTATCTAGTCTTAAATCTTTCATATATTACCAAATTATTTTTTACTCTATTACGACTGATGCATAATTTGTTCAGAGCTCAGTAGACACTTATTTTAAGATGTTTCATACCATTATGAATGCTGTGTAAGTTCTTGCTTGGTAATTTTCTATCTTCCTGCTTTTACAGGGGTTCTTGTATTGACTTTCTTCGTGAACAGATTACATGTGAACACTGTTACCAGCAAAGATCAGTTTATTATAGCCTATGGGGGTCTTAGAGGTGCCATCTGTTTCTCTCTGGTTTTCTTGCTCCCTGAATTTCCTAGGAAGAAACTCTTCATTGCAGCCACAACTGTAGTTATTCTCTTCACTGTGTTTGTACAGGTAAGACTACTATCAATATGGCAGAATGCCTACACCACATATTACACGGTGCCTGACAATGTTTTTGTTCCCAATACATGCTTGGCACTGATACTCTTTAGATTTAGTGTGGACTCTAATTGGACATGAAGTTATCGGACCTTTCCAGGGCTTAATGAAAGTCTCACATCACTCCCAGCCTTTTCCCAGATCTCTGTGGCTACGTCTACACTGGCCCCTTCTCCGGAAGAGGCATGCTAATTTCAAAGAAATCCGGGGGGGATTTAAATATCCCCCGCGGGATTTAAATAAACATGGCCGCCGCTTTTTTTCCGGCTTTTCCCCAAGCCGGAAAAAAGCGTCTAGACTGGCGCGATCCTCCGGAATAAAGCCCTTTTCCGGAGGATCTCTTATTCCTACCTGAAAGTAGGATATTTAAATCCCCCGCGGATTTCCCTATTCCAAAGTTTGAAATTAGCATGCCTCTTCCGGAGAAGGGGCCAGTGTAGACGTAGCCTGTTTGTTCAACAGGGGCATTCCCCAAGGCTCCCTCTTTCTCTAGTGGTGCCTTCGCCCATTTCCCAAGCCACCCAGCTAGTGCTCTGTCTCCCTATTCTCCGGGAGCACCTGCAGACACTTTCTGCTTCTCTGAGGTAGCAAAAGCCCCAATCTGCCCTGACTCACCCAGGTGCCCTCTCTTAAGCCCAATGATCCATCGCAGGTGCACTAGCCTCTTCCCTCTTCAAAGGGAGCATATTTGGATTTGGATTTTGTAGTAAGATTGAACTTTAGTTAAACCTTCCTCCGGATGAGGTCAATTCTCTCTGCACCAGGGGAGAGAACAAAGGAAGCATTCTAAACACACTTACCACTTACGGCAAGATTTTAAAAAGAGACTAGTGATTTGTATGAGAAAGCTTAGAAGGGCCTGATTTTAAGAGCCTCAGTTCCTTCTGGAAATCAGGCCTCTCTATGATGCTCACAACTGGTGCAATCAAAATCATGTCACTGAAAAATCTTGGCTTTGGTATGTATGTCTGAAATAGCTTCACATACATACAAAAGGGCAGGTGTTAGCATTTATGATGACAGTTTCATAAAATGAAGACCCCACCCTTTAGCTTTAAATTGCCATATTGTCCGGTGCTGAAAAAGGAGCGGAGGTGTGGCTAATTATATCAGTAATAAACATCATAAGCAAACAAAATAATGGTTTATTACATCCCAGTTGTGGAAAGAGTAGATTTTAAAATGTAATTCCTCAAGAATGATGTGACAAATAATATACACGCTTGCCAAATACTTTTGTCTAACAGACCAAGGTGACTCAAATATATTAGTTTGCTAGTAAGATAAAAAGATAGAAACTTCATCAACTGAACGGACTTTGCAGGCATTTCAGACTTTATCTAGGGCTGTGTCTACATTGGCAAGATTTTGCGCCAAAGCAGACGCTTTTGCGCAAAAACTTGCCGCTTGTCTACACTGGCTGCGAGTTCTTGCGCAAGAACACTGACGTTCTAATGTAAGAAATCAGTGCTTCTTGCGCAAGAACTATGACTCTCCCGCTCAGGAATAAGCTCTCTTGTGCAAGTGTTCTTGCGCAAGAGGCCAGTGTAGATAGGCAACATGAATTTCTTGCGCAAGAAAGCCCGATGGCTAAAATGGACATGGGAGCTTTCTCGAGCAAGAGAGCATCTACACTGGCACAGATGCTTTTGCGCAAAAGCACATCTTTTGCACAAAAGCACATGCCAGTGTAGACGCTCTCTTGTGCAAATACTTTAACGCAAAAACTCTTGCGTTAAAAGTATTTGCGCAAAATCTTGCCAATGTAGACGTAGCCTGCATGTTTTGTAATAAGAAATGAAATAAGGAAAAAGGATTCAGTGAGCTTAACTGCACAATTGTTAATCTCTGTTAATCATAGATGCTTCTGATTTAGGTTCAAAATTTGTTTCCATGTTTACTTAAAATGAGGTAAATTAGAGAATCTGCAATTAGTTTTCATGCACTGAAGTTAGTTTGCAAATCTGTGGATAGCCACATTATGATTTGGATACAGATATCCATGGACTATGTTTGCAGATTGCAGATCGGATGTAGATAGAAACTTTCATCCCTAGAGGATTCTACCTATTTAAATCAATGGAGGCCCCTAGAATTCAACAGTAAGCAAATGGCTTTTCTGTTAAGCAAGGGAAACCACTTTAAGCCCAGAAGATGTGGCAGAATTCCCTCTCCCTCTCCATTCCCGGTTCAAGCATGTGTGCTGTTAAATGATCTAATTTTACATTGGGATTCCAATGGCAATCTTTTTAAAAAAGTTAGAGTTTTGAAATCATGGCATTTATATCTTCTATGTTTCTGTTGTTTCACTATATGTTGTTCTCTCTTCTTACAACATCCCACTTTTTATTTATTTTAAAATGAATCCTATTTCCTCTTTCTTATATGTAAATGAAGGTGAAAGATTTCCCATTATTTTAGTTGTATGCTAATACTGTATGTTATTTGATTGTGGTGCCCATTTATAACTTGTGTGCTTCCCTTTAAGGAAAAATGCACATTGAAAACATCTCTTGGCATTTAAGTGCCATCTAGTGGTTAAAATATTGCTAGACACTTTTAGTTTGCTAAAGATTTTGGTCCTGATTCTCTGCTGCCTTGCATCCTGTACTGTCATCATGCTTCAGTAGTGATTCCATGATTGCAACAGGGTTCCTGTTTAAAAGCCCAAATTTCAGACCTTCTTTAAATGCACTTGTGTGTAGTTAATTCAGCTTGAAAATTGGTATGTCAGGTCAGAGCCCAAGGTGATGCAAGTCCAGGTTATCTGGTCAAGGTACTCCCAAGAGAGAAGCATCCCTAAAATACCCTGTTTTTAAAAGTACAAGGTTGGGTTTGGACCCTTTATTTCTGTGTAACCACTTATGGAAAGCACATACTCTTGCTTCCTTGTATGAACTTAGCCTTGTCTTCCCACCTTACTCCATTCCATTGGCAAAGTTGGCTGAGAAGAGCAGCTCCATGGATCCCAGGGCAGTTCTGCTGCATGTAGCTGTAAGGTCGGTGTAAAGGGTGGCACCATTTTGTACAACTCCATGTACAACTTGCACCCGTGTGCACAAGGTCCATACAGATTCCAGAAACATGGTGTGGGGAGATCAATTTCTAGAGCAAGGGGCCAGCCAGGGCCAGTAGGGCAGAGCATGGCAGGGGGGGCCTGCCCCCCAGCCTATGGGTCCTGTTTACAAACGAGCCATCACCAGACACACACTGGCCCATCTATCCCTGTGTCGCCAGTGTCCCCCTTCTGCCATGTCACTGTAGTGCTGCCTACGAGACTGTGGGATCCTGCTGGCAGCATCCCAGCCCAGACATGGCAGCCAGTGCAGAGCAGGGATCTCCTTGGAGGGAACTGCCACAGGCAGTCTGACTGCTGGAGTCACTAATGTTTCTGCTAATTATTTCCATCTTTCTGTGGATTTTTTCCATCTGTGTGCAGAATGCATTTTGTTATATGCACCAAGGCATGTGTGAATGTGCACTACCAGGAGAAACACAAACCCAGCTGTGGGCACTCTGCTAATCATCTGGGCAGCATTGGAACCATAGAATCATAGAATACTAGAACTGGAAGGGACCTTGAGGGGTCATCAAGCCCAATCCCCTGGCCTCAAGAACCGTCTAGGTCATCTCTGACAGATGTTTCTTTAACCTGCTCTTAAATATCTCCAAGCAATTTACTCCAGTGTTTAACCATCCTGACAGGAAGTTGTTCCTAATGTCCAACTTAAACCTCCCTTGCTGCAATTTAAGACTGTTGATTCTTGTCCTATCATCAGAGGTTAAGAAGAATAATTTTTCTCCTAACCTTTTAGGTACTTGAAAACTGTTGTCATATCCCTTCTCAGGCCTGATCTACACTGGGAGTTTAGGTTGATCTTAGCTGTATTAGATCAATTTTCTAAACAATGAGTTCACACCACCAAGCCCATTTGGTTAACTTTCAGGGCCGTTAAAACAGATTTCTGTATTGCAGCTTTTAGGAGGAGTAACTGCTAAATTTGACCTTGCATGGTCAACTTTATGGTAGTGCAAATGCAGCGCGTGGAAAGTCGATGTTCTTGACCTCCCGGAGATGTCCCACAATGCCGCAAGGTAACAGCTCTGTCCATGATTTTCAACTCTACTGCTCTCCAGGTGAATAGGAAAAGCACTGGGAAAATTTGAATTTCATTTCCTATGTGGCCAGCATGGCAAGCAGACCTCAGAGCAGCCCGCACACCTGAGCAGCACACTTGATCATGAGTTCTATGAGCTCCATGAGTTCCCAGGCTCACAGACAAGCACCAGCATGTAGTGTGCAGGAGATCCTGGACCTCATTGCTGTGTGGGGAGAGCCATGCAGTTTATGTACTTCTTCGCTGGATGGTCAGGTACCAAAAAAGCGATGTGCGTTCCATCTATCACTCCACCACAGTTAGGGAACCCCCTGCTATGTGCTTCATCTTTCCCAGAGTCACTACCCTCCATAGAAGAAGGGTACTGATTCCTTGGCTACTTGGATCACAACAACCCCCACAGTAGATTTCCGAATTGATTCTCAATGGATGAGTAGCTGTCTGGCAGTGCAATTGCCATTCACTTCTCCACTGTCAGAGCAGGTTTCATTCTGGTATTCTTATGCGTCAGGACAGGGAAAAGCAATTCACAAACTTTGATGAAAGTAGCCTTACGCATAGGGGCGAGCTTCTGTTGCTCGTCTCATACCTGAATCACAATGCAGTCACACAAATCTATGCTTGTCTGATGGCACCAGAACCGGCGTTCCACTGTGCCCAGAGGATTGAATGCTGGCAGCATTTGTAATTTGCTCTACTCAAGTGCTTTGCATTGTTCACTGCCTCCTGAGATTTGTCCTCATTCCTGTGAATGCTAGGTATGCTTTGGACATACCATTAGGCACACCTAGGTTAATGTGATCCATGATGGGTTCCATGCTTATGTTGCAATGG